AACAAAGAGAAACAAAGAGAATATTGCTTCTCCTTGTTTCTCTTTGATTTGTCGATTTTTAACAAAGAGAAACAAACAAGAGAATATTGCCTGGGCAATTCTCGCTTTGTTTCTCTTTGTTATAACATGGAAAAACCTATGGGAATCCCTGATCTTGGTTGGTGACTGTCTTCCTTAAAAACTAACGGAGGGCCCTGTGAAGTGAAAATTCTTAGTTCTGTTTCTGCCCATCTTTCGATTTCTTCGAGATGGCCCTTCGGAATCAGCTGAATGTGCAGGGTACGTACATACCCCTTCCAGGTAAGTACGAGTATCCCATACTAGTACTGTATGTTTGATATTTGCCTGTGTACAAAACTCACTTTCCCGATATTATAGATGTGCTACTTTTGATAGACTGACAGACCAGAAATTTATAACATCTGAAACAATTTTTATTTCATTTGATTGAGGCCAAACTGACCCCATCAAACATAATAAATTTTTATGTTGTTGGAACTCATGATCCAAAATTTCTCCAGCAGGGGTGAAAGATTCAACAGAAAAGACTGCCAAAATTGAGACTGAATCAACAAAATTAAGACTTTTCTTCCTAAGCAACAAGAGACAAGCAACCACATTCTCTATAAACTATTGAGACACACCATAAATAATGTCCCAATTGGTGCTTTTAGTCAGTACATTCTATTTCCTTTTCTTGTTGTTGCAGCAAAAAGAGGAGCAACAAGAGGGAGAGTAGTAGGCCATTGAACACAGAGAGGGAACTCATTGTCACCCAACTGGCCTCAAAGAAAGAGCTCATTGTCCAATCCCCCACACTATTTTTGTAGTAAAGAAGATGGCAAAAGCTGGCAATACCACTGGCCGGAAGGGTGGTGTAGCAAACTACTCTTGTGATGACCTACAAAGTCTCATGGGCATCATGATACTTGAAAGGCTTCCCATTAGTGGAGATGACTGGGATGTCATTGTGAATGATCACCATGCAAAAGTTTTGCGCTTCTGTAGAAGCCTGACATCCATCAAGACTAAGTATGCAGTTGTTACTAAGAGGAGGATCAAGAACAGCAATCAAAAGGCAAATATTGGTATTGGGGAGGAGGGCTTTGATCCAAAGCAAGGCTATGTTAAAAGTGAGGCTGCGGAGGGTTTGACTGGTGTCCCAGCTGGTATTCTCACTGAAGTAGCTGAAGAACCAGAGGTTCTTCTTGTTGGGGAAGCATCATCTGCTGAAGCATCACCTGTTATTGTTGGAGGAGCAAGACCAGGAGCATCTTCACTTATTATACAATTGACTCCTCTCCCCACCAGAAAGAGGACCTCCCAGCAGCAGAAGAAATCAAATGCTCAAGATGCTGCTGCTGAGATCAATAAGTATATTTAGAGCCAGCAAGAAAGAGACAAAGAGTAATGTGAGGTGATGTGGTTGAAGGACACCATTGAAGCTGCAAAGGAAGTTGCAAAGGATTTTCTGGGAGCTGTTGTCACTATGTTCAATCAGTGTCAACAACAAAGCACTTACCACTCTTACCATGGTCCTCTGGTGCCAAACCAACACTCATACATGAACTGAACTGAACTGAAGTGAACTGAACTGAAGTGAACTGAACTGAAGTGAACTGAACTGAAGTGAACTGAAGTGAACTGAACTGAAGTGAACTGAACTGAAGTGAACTGAACTGAAGTGAACTGAAGTGAACTGAACTGAAGTGAACTGAACTGAACTGAACTGAACTGAACTGAACTGAACTGAACTGAACTGAACTGAACTGAA